CCACTAGTATTTTTCTCGATAACTTCAACGCACTTCTCGTGTCACCTTCCTGTATACCGTGGAATCGCAAGTTATATTCACGTGAATACCTTTCTTGATTCTTTTGTTTTTCATTTGATTCACGTAGCTGTTTTTTCAAAACTTGATTTTCATTCTCCAGTTCAGTAACACGTGTCATAAGTTCATTGACCCTCTTATTCACATTCTCAAACGACAACGTAAATTCTTGTTGATGCTCCTCAAACTTCTCCTTGTTCTTCGTTAAATCACTCTCAACTCTGCTGTTAATAGTTATATTTTCTGATACTAACTTCTCCATATTTTGATCAATGCATGTTATTGTATTTATCATGAACTCCTTGAAGTCAGCTTCGCTGTCGTCACCTGCCATTACTGTATTGTCTTTATTCATGAAGTGTGTAATTTTACCTCGAGTTTCCAATGGCGTCGTCTTCAAAGATACAGCTTGGCTTTCTACCAGTTTTTTCCTTTCTGCTCTCGTTCGACCATTTGGCATCTTTGTAATAAGTATCAATTCCACCTTCCTGACATGCCATCAGCTATTCTAAGACGGGTTGTACAACCAATATAGCAAATTTTATTCAACTTTCCACGGAGCCACGTGCATTGCGCTTATCTGTTCATGGCAGCGCCCTCAGCCATCCTCAGCCAAGTAACATGTTTGGTTAATGTGATGTTGATAAGTACAATGCAAGTAATATGTGTAGTTAGTGTGATGTTGATAAGTACAATGCAAGTAATGTTTGGTTAATGTGATGTTGATAAGTACATTGCAAGTAACATGTTTGGTTAATGTGATGTTGATAAGTACATTGCAAGTAACATGTTTGGTTAATGTGACGTTGATAAGTACAATGCAAGTAACAAGTTTGGTTAATGTGATGTTGATTAGTACAATGCGAGTAACAAGTTTGGTTAATGTGACGTTGATAAGAACATTGCAAGTAACATGTGTGGTTAATATGATATTGATAAGTATATTACAAGTAACAAGTTTGGTTAATATGATGTTGATAAGTACATTGCAAGTAACATGTTTGGATAATGTGATGTGGATAAGTACATTGCAAGTAACGTGTGGTTAATGTGATGTTGATAAGTACATTGCAAGTAACATGTGTGGTTAATATGATATTGATAAGTACATTGCAAGTAACATGTTTGGTTAATGTGATGTGGATAAGTACATTGCATGTAACAAGTTTGGTTAATGTGATGTTGATAAGTACATTGCAAGTAACATGTTTGGTTAATGTGATGTTGATAAGTACATTGTGTAATGTTTGTGAGTCAATAAAGACAAACACTGTTGCAACACGTGTGGCCACGTCAAGCTTTATTCCAAACTGCCCGTACTCCCAAAATCTACGGACTCCCCAGCACAATTGTCATTCATAACATACTACAATGAACTACTGACTCCCTAGCATAATTGTCATTCTTAATATATTACACATTGCAAGTAACAAGTTTGGTTAATGTGATGTTGATTAGTACATTGTGTAATGTTTGTGAGTCAATAAAGACAAACACTGTTGCAACACGTGTGGCCACGTCCAAGCTTTATTCCAAACTGCTCGTACTCCCAAAATCTACGGACTCCCCAGCACAATTGTCATTCATAACATACTACAATGAACTACTGACTCCCTAGCATAATTGTCATTCTTAATATATTACACATTGCATGTAACAAGTTTGGTTAATGTGATGTTGATAAGTACATTGCAAGTAACAAGTTTGGTTAATGTGATGTTGATCTGTACACTGCAAGTAACATGTGTGGTTAATGTGATGTTGATAAGTACATTGCAAGTAACATGTTTGGATAATGTGATGTTGATCTGTACACTGCAAGTAACATGTGTGGTTAATGTGATGTTGATAAGTACATTGCAAGTAACATGTGTGGTTAATATGATATTGATAAGTACATTGCAAGTAACATGTGTGGTTAATATGATATTTATAAGTATATTACAAGTAACATGTGTGGTTAATGTGATGTTGATTAGTACATTGCAAGTAACAAGTTTGGTTAATATGATGTTGATAAGTACATTGCAAGTAACATGTGTGGTGAATATGATATTGATAAGTATATTACAAGTAACAAGTTTGATTAATATGATGTTGATTAGTACATTGCAAGTAACATGTGTGGTTAATATGATGTTGATAAGTACATTGCAAGTAACATGTTTGGTTAATGTGATGTGGATAAGTACATTGCATGTAACAAGTTTGGTTAATATGATGTTGATAAGTACATTGCAAGTAACATGTGTGGTTAATGTGATGTTGATAAGTACATTGCAAGTAATGTTTAGTTAATGTGATGTTGATAAGTTATTACACTACATATCATTTTTTAGCATATGTCAGCGAAAAAAAATTTGAGATATGATGGAATGTTTCTGCCATAGGAACCAATTGTAAACTACTCAAAAAACAGATTTGGTGAAAACATTAAAGTAACCCAAACCCCTTGCTGGATTTCAAGAATTTCTGAGAATATATGTTAGTGAACTTACAGTCCTTTTCCTTTTGGTAGGTAATCTTGGGTGCAGTGTATGGGGAGGCCGAATTTCTCCACCACCAAGGTACTGTGTAGTTCCAGGGTAAATATTTTTTTTATTCTGTGTGGCTATCATATCTGACAATTTATCCTGCTTATAATTATTACTCTCTATTCTTTCTTCTTCAATAAGAATTAAGTAACGCTCACTTTCAAGCTGCTCTCCAATCACCACCTAAAAGAAACACCAAATCAAAATTCAGTACACAAAAATATTATCAATATTTTGAAAATAAAATAGTGCTGATTTAGTCAACAAAGAAAATAAACTTATTTACCTGGTCAGGTTTAACATACAAGGAATCTAATTTACATTTATTATCATCGTACAATACTGATTTATTCCCTTGGAGGATGACTTTTAATATACCATCATGCCAAGTCTTGGCCTTCTTTGTTTTCTGGTGTGTGTAAAGTATCTGCAACATGTTTGAGATGATATTATGCATAAGGTGAAAACTTACATAACACAGGACCTGGTAGGAACAGAGGCTCAACAGAAACACCTAACCACTGCTCTCGACATCCACAACATGCAACTATATAGCGTTGAGTGATTCGAGCAAAGTCCCTCAAGGGATTATGATTCAAGGCAACAACTTCAACTATGATCGATAAATACTATACCGTAAATTCTCTTGATGACATTGCTTAAAACTGTAAATGCCTTCCTCGCAACTGGAGCTGACACATGCGCAAGTTAGGACTAATAGGAGGTCGCAATGTTATTTTCAACTTCTGATCATACAAAGTGGACATTTATAGCCCGCAGCACCGTGATCTATAAACCAAGACGATATGTTTCCCTGCCGAATTGAATACACATCTGACGAACTATCCTTGTACCTAATTCCATTTACAGTCGTTGTGCGTACATTCACGCCACAAGCTTTGGAAAAGTTACAAAAACCGTGAAAGTGTGAATTTGTTCGCCACTAGTAGTTTCTTCTCAAACTTCCCTCTTACCCGCCATGTTGGACAAAGCATCATGGGAGTTTACGCAGACATTTGTTTACCATAAATCTGCCCAACGATGATTGGTCGAAAGTTCGTCTGTAAGTGAGTTGCTGCGATTCGGGACACCTTAAAGTGCGTTTCTGTGTTCTTGCGTTCCTGCGTTCCTGCGTTCCTGACTTCTTGCCCATATTTGCCTAAATAAATAAAATAAATAAATAAATAAAATTAAATACCGGTATAAAATTGTATTTACGTATACTGAACAGCATGTGTGCGATTATTGAGATCTAGAAGCTTATGACTGGTTTGTTTTCGCATGCCTGACAAAATACTCTAGAAATTAAATTCATTTTCTACTTAATTATTGTGAAGAACTTAATCACAAATTAGGTTTTATATTGGATTTTAATTATGCAAATGTCTGCATGTTTATGGAATGGACAAACATGATTTGATAAATACTTCTCGATATATTACATGTTCAGTTACGCATGCATGTTTTTTGTTCAAAAACATCTTTCATTTCATGATAAATCAATAAATTATTTTATTTTTGCTTTCCTTCTTTTTTATTACTACGATTGTGCTTTGTGACAGTGTTGCATACTTAGATGAATACACACTGATTGTAGCTATACTACTTTAATATGCCGTATATTGTGACAAGCTTTCACCGAAGACCCGGTTTTCCAGTCTTTCTGTTTTTTAATTTGTAAAGAAATTGAATAACTACGTAATTTTACAGGATATTTTGCGCATTATGAAAACCAGCCACTAAAAAGTGCAGAATTGCCATCATCATCTGTGATAACAAATAGTAGAAGCAGTGGATTCTCAAGATGTAAAGAGCACTAAATTAACAGTAATTATTTTCACCGTAATAAATTGCATAAACGAAAAAGTGTGGTTAAATACAGGGCGATTTTGTGTTCGTTAAAGTTGAATTGCGAAAAGAACATGGTTGAGTGGACTTGGATTTAGATGGTAGAATATTGCACGAGTAGTGCTATAAAAGTATATGAAACTGAAAATGCATGTATGGATATTTGTTTTTCGTTGGCCACACGAAGCATACTAGAATAGACACACATTTTATTAGTTATTTATTCATATGCGCTTTCGTGTTTTTTAAAGACCTGAGAATGTTCGGGAACATTCGGCTTCCCAGAAAGACATACTCATTTCTCAGTAAAAATTTAATTTCTCGTTATCCAGACAAATTTACATTATTTTATTTCCAAACCGTGACGATAACTTTATGGAAAAGTCTAAATATAACAAAAACTAGTAATGTAACTTTAACATTCATTCACTATTATTGCATCGCGAAGATTTAACTGTTCATACTGTTAAAATATGTTCAGACTTGATTTCTTACGTTATGATTATTAATAAAGTGAAATAAAGGTCTTTGGTCCCCCAATCTGATTAAAATCAGATGTACTGTACGTTTTATTATTTTT